TTTTTTGCAACAGCATCACACTGTTGACTCATATTTAGCTTGTGGTCCACTATAACCCCTAGATTCCTTTCTGCCATACTCCTTCCTAGACAGTCGCTTCCCATTCTGTAAGTGTGAAACTGACTGTTCCTTCCTAAGTGGAGCACTTTGCATTTGTCTTTATTAAACTTCATCCTGTTTACCTCAGATAATTTCTCCAATTTGTCCCAATCATTTTGAATTATGATCCTATCATCCAAAGCATTTGCAACCCCTCCAAGCTTGGTATCATCTGCAAACTTTATAAGCGTACTCTGTATGCCGATATCTAAATCGCTGATGAAGATATTGAACAGAACCGGTCCCAAAACAGACCCCTGAGGAACCACACTTGTTACTCCTTTCCAGCAGGATTGTGAACCGTTAATAGCTGCTCTCTGGGAATGGTTATTCAGCCAGTTATGCACCCACCTGATAGTAGTTCTTGAACAACTGATTCACAGCCTGATGAATGGACACACAGAGTCAGATGCACAAACTCTCTAAAATATATAATGGCTATTGCTTAGGACAAGAGTGTGCCAGTTAGGCATGTCTCAGCATTAAGTGAACTATGGAGACTTTCCACCTCAGGAAGAAGTCTCAGAAGGCTTTCCAAAATACCAAGGGAGTGTTCAGTGTGTTAAGTATAGGTGTGTTGCCACTCTATCTTCTCCTTACCAACTACAGAATGTAATGCACTCTGAGGAACAGGGAGAGAAAGAAGTCGCAGAACAAAGTGCAATTCTGTGTGACCCATCTAAAGATGTAAATTCTTCTTTTATTTTCCCTAAATGCTGCATGTCCTGTGTCTTCCAGGCAGAGTCAGGCCTTAGGACAGTAAAACTTTTAGAATCACTCTGTTCTAGAAACAGAAAACATTTCTTTTCTGTAAACATTTCCTCCCCTTCCTTCTCTATAAAGTTTGAGAAAGGCTTCACATTTGGGAACACAGACAAAGAAAATCACTGTGAGTTGGACATTGCTCATGAAGTTTTAATTTTCTTCAAAATTTCATAACCTCTTAAAAATGGGGTAGAGTAGACTTTCTGACTAGCTTTTTACTATAGATTTATTGCAGGGCAGCCTATAATTACTGGAGAGCTTTGGTAATAATATGAATGTTTCGGTCTTAAATTGAGACTCCTTAACATAAAATGATCTTATAATTTCTAATCACTTTATAGTTCTTATTACCATAAGCCTAATAGTTCTAAATTCAAGTGCTTGCCTAATACAACAACCTCACTTAACCCTGGTCTATGCTCCCTTATTTCGAAATAGCAAGATGAGTGTCCATAGTATGAAGCCCGTTATTTTGAAATAATAATTCCTGCTTTCCATGAGGAATAATGCTTATTTCGAAACAGTGGTAGTGTGGAGTCATTCAATGTAAGTACTCTCCAGTGCTTCCTGGGGCTCTACGTTGAGGTAACACATCTACATTAAGGGAGCCTGCCTCAGACTAATTTCAAGGCTTCCCTGTAGTGTAGACACACTATTTTCAAATAGTTATTTTGGAAAATATTATTTTGAATAATTTGTAAAGTAACCAAAAACCAAAATCTACCAACTTGCCTCTTTCTGAAAATTCTTATTCACAGTTGTATTCATTGGGAAATAGTTCACATAAATATATATAGTAACATTTATGTTATATAAAGAGAATCATTATGGCTTATTTTGGTACTGGTGTAGAAGGTTTTGTTCGTATGTCTAAAAATGCTAGCTAGTTATATATTATGCACATCTATGAAAACTTTTTAAAACTGTGTTATCTGGTACATAAATAACCTCTTCTCCATGATGAACTTGAGCAATATGTGAAAAACAACTGGAGTTAAAGATGGTTGAGCAGGGAAAGATGACTACAAAATATGCATAGTGTACAAATTTAGAATCTAGTCCTGTTCCCATGGATCTTAATTGTACAGGCTCAATTTTAATTGAAAAGTATTTGACAAAAAGAGAGGCTGTATAAGTTAAGAAATCCTATTTCTGTGAAGACCTGCATCAGTTTCTTGCCTTATTTACTGTACTATGAGATGAAAAAGAAAATAGTGGTTATGACAACAACCACAGACACAGCCCCTGTGTCTACACAAAGCACTTTAATTTTAAAAGCAATTGGCTATACATAATTTGAATATTTTGTCAATGGTCTGTGTTTGTTTTTATGAAAAAAATGTTTATGCCTATATTCAATGTTTGTTTATGAACATAATTGTTTTGTATTTAACTTTTCTTACATCTCTTTATTGTATCTTCACACATTTTTGAGAAAATAAAAGAGTGGAGTACTGTTATTATGGAGAGTGTTGTGGTAGGTTTGGTAGGTTTGAATATATAAAATGTAAGAATTTATTTTTCTTCACTGCCGTATTTTTTTCTGCTTTCAGGAAGGTGATTGTTGTTATTAAATCAGAGCTGTGTACATTCCAGCTGTTTTGTGTAACATATACTATTGGTTGACAGGGCATTTCCCAGTATTAAATTGTTTCTGTGTCCACATAAATACAGTAGCTGTATTTGCTGAATTCTCTCCATGTATGTTGGGCAGCTATTTCAAATCCTCATTTTTTTCTGATTACAATACCAACCCTCCCCACCCCCCCACCACAATTTAATGTTGATGAATAAACCATCTGATGCCAGAAATATCACAATAGCGGCCGATAGTCAAAAACTCTAACCCTCATCTTCGATTCTGAAGTGTCTCTAGACTGTTTTTTGTTCTTTAAAATACTTTTTATGATGAAAACTTTAATATTCAATTTGAGCCCAGGACACTGTTGGCATGATGATTTACAGCACTTTTACTTCCCATCCTGTTTCATAGTGGTAATGTGGATTTTTAACTCGCATGATGAAAATCAGTGCATTATGATTTACTTTGGGTGATTTTTTTCCCCTAAGTTATACTTATGGAATCTCCTAATACTTGAACCATTTGCGTAACTTATCAGTTAGCTGTGGTAAAATCTACAATTCCTTTTTAAATCATTCTATCCCAAACAAAGATATATGACAAACAAAGCCATATATTGTAGATAAAGATGAGGGGAAATCTTTAATAACTGACTTATTTTTCTTTCCAATATCTCTGGATTTTTCCAGGTTTGCAAAATTTAGTAGAGCCCTATTGTTTTTGAGAGAGAGCACATACCAGTGTGTGCTGTGTTAGAAGGCTTTTGATAAAGTCCTAGCTGAGGTTTAGAATAAATTATTTTTGTTTATAGTGAGTTGAAAATATGAAATAGGGTCTCTTTTTATTTATTAAAATTTCTACTACTTCTCGTGACTTTACTTATAAGCTTATTTTGAAAATGTAAAATAAAGAGCTCTGCATTGCTCTGCTTGTAGGCCCAAATATTTAACACTGTAGGCATAAAATGCCTGATGCATATCTGCAAGCTAGTATCCTGCCTTTGTATATAACTTTCTGCATACACCTAATCCCAACTTGCTCTCATGCATTATGGGTTTTGCTAGTGCTAACGTAAGTTATACCTACTAGGACTGCAGATGAATGCAAATACCAAAACTCTGAAAGTTTAAAAATTGTGCTTTATTTTTCTAAGTACTGTAGTTCTGGTTCTTAATTCTATGACAATATTAGGCACTAGGGTTGCCAATTTTAGTTGGATGTATTCCTGGAGGTTTCATCACATGACATAATCTTTAATTAAAAGTTAATCTTTTATTCCTGGAACCTCCAGAAAAATCCTGGAGGGTTGGCAACCCCATTAGGAAACTTATTCTACAGTACTTAAGACCTCATTTTTCATGATAATATTGGTGTACTTTCTGATTTCTAAGATATCTAAACATTGTAAAATGTTCAAGAAAGTCTGATTTTGCCTTGAAAACTGAAATATGACACTCTTACCTCACTTCTTTTTACCCTACAAGGAACTGATGTGTTTGAGACTTATGTATATGTACATTTTAAATAGAGCAATGCTTCTCTTAACAGATGTGTTCATGCATTAATATTAAGTACCATGTATACTGTTTTGGAAAAAAACATATCAATAAATGTGATTCCCAATTCTTTTTTGTGTTAATTTTGAGCACAGACTGCTGCTGCGCTATTAACCTTTGCCCTTATTAAATTCATGATTTTTGAATACTAATGATAAATATATTGTAGTAATTTGTTGCTATGTCATTAGTTGCATATTCATTCATCATAAAATTGATGTTTACATTTTTCACACATGGATCTTGATGATAAAAATCAGTGAATATTTTAGAAGGGTTTTTTTGGTAAAAAAATCATTCAGTATCTGCAATTTTAATTGTTTAAAGGTATGGATCAAAATGCTTAAGAGATCAATTTGTTGGCTATAATCAGGCAACAGATTGGATGAATAATTTAATGTTCAAAGTAAGCTTAACCACTTCTTCCAAGCACTAGCCTTGTTTGCTGATTGAAAGTTTACTGTTTTTAGTATGCTCATTGAACTTGCTGGAATTTGTATTTATTTTAGCCTTTATTTTCCCCAAGAAGAGGAGCGGGAAAAGAAAATATTCATGTGGTCAGCATATCTTTTAGTATTTATGTGAGTTCACCATCTTGATTTCAAGTCATGAATTTGTTTTTACACACATATGCATGCAATTTACATGCATTACTTATTTATTCAATTGACCTTAAATTCCATTAAGTTCCAATGAGTAGGAGAGAGATTTTAGTCTTAGGCTTTATTTTAATTTTATTTTTCTAGTTACATTACTTTTGTTTGTTTATTTTTAACTGTTCAGTCTAAGGCTTGTAAAGGTTGATTTGCTCCTGAACTGCTTTGTTCCCAGACATTGCCATCTTCCCCAACTACCACCAAGTCCTCTCCATCTGATCCCATGACCACCTCCAGAGCCAATCAGGTACAGTATCATCCTATCATCTACACCATACTTTTCACGGGTGACAGCTTGCAAACTGGAGAAAAAGATATGGTGGGTTAAGGATTTATTCTTTCATTCACATATATACACCCATAATCATAGATATCTAACACTGTTGCATAAAGAACACTTTTCAGAACTTGGAAAATAAATAGAAAAATCATTCTCTAAATATACTTTTTAATGTTTAAACCTCTGACAGTAAAATAGACTCTAAAATAGGAATTTTAATATTTTTAATCTTACTATGTTAACGTGTACCTGCAGGGTATGTATTTGTGTATCAGTGAGTGCAGTAGTTGAGTTTGTCTATTTATTATGTGTATGTATATATGCACACACATTTATAGTCTCTAGATCCCTTGTTTGTAAAAAGAATGGAACTATCCCTAAAACAATATTTAAATAGATGAATGTGATATTAGAAATGACATATATTTAATTTGGTTTATAAATCATGAATTATATGAGAAGGTATTAGTATTTAAATAGATGATTAAAAATAAAGTACAAGTAAGTATTTTAAAACATTTTGATTACATGTTAATTTGAGATTTGATTACTTTTATTTTGGTTCTTATTTTTTAAAATGCAGATATTGTAATTTTTTTGTTATGAGTCTGTTTTATTCTTCTTTGAACTAGTCAACCTGTGCATTATCCACACAATCATTAAATTTTATATATCGTTGTTTTATTCTTTTATGTAAAGTTCCATGTTACTTACTGACCTTCATACAATCCAGATTCAGACACAGCAGTTACTCAGTGGCTGATTTTGAGGTACACCTGGAAACAGTTAAGGCTAAAAGTACCCTGTATATATTTTAATACTACTTACATTCAGTGTACTAATTTTAACCTATGGTTATTTACATCAGCTTCTCTTAAGAACTTGTATAAATGTATTCATATCTCAAGAAGGGGTTTCTTGACAGCAAGCTGTTTTGCCCCCTGTCCCCAACAGATCATTAACATACCTATGAATTATTGGCAGTTGGATAACTTGTGAAAACTACTTTAGATGTTGTGTACTGTGTAAATAACCAGGCTCAGTGTACATCACTTCATTAAAAGAATACATAATATTTTGATCGTTATAAGAGAATCTGTTGAAAGTGACATCTGGCCCAAAAAGTGATGAAATTTATTTTCAGGAGAAATTTTATAGATAGAAGGGAGGAATCTTTGTTGAGAGAACTGTGTGGTACTATCCCACAGGTTGATTTGAAATTTCTGTATATATCCTCCTGCCTCTCCAGCAGTGATTATTTGACTTTGTCGTCACTTTAAAATTATAAAAAAAAGGTTAGCAAAGCACTAGTAAGACTGCCTTACGAACACTGTATTCAGTGTTCTTCTTTCTGAATCTGAATGTTAGACTTGCATATACTTTAATTAAAGGGTATTGAAACCACTGTGCAAACAACTAATTATTAAGCTATTGTAATGTTCTCCTTTCCTTCCTTCCTTCCTTGACAAGCATTCATTGTTTTCTAGACAAAAGTGAGGTATTTATTTAATAGGAAACATTATTTTGTGCATTTTGATTGCATAGCATCAGAGTTTTACTTGCTTTGGATGTGTCTTGGAGTTTGAACTATCCAAGATTTAGCTTAGAGTATCAGTATATAAAAATAAATTGTATTTACTTATTAAAAATGTTTTACTGAGCTTCTAGAAAAGTTGGTTTCTGTGTGGAAGAGTTTTTTTAGTAAAATCAAGTGTTTTGTTGAATATTCAAACTGGAGGACAAATAACTGTGCGCTTTGTCTTAGCCACACTTCACATTACATTGTGAAATATGTTTTACTCATAACCTGTTTTCCTATTTAGTTCTTATACAAATAATCAGAATCTCTTTTGGACAGTATTTAAAAGGGCATAAATGAAGAAAGATATGAGAACCAGAACTTGGAGCTGTATTTATCCTTATTTTTTAATGTTCTGATTACTTTATAATTATTTTATCCCCCACAGTACTTCTTAGTACTGTCCATTTCTGCAGAAGGCATCTGGCACATGATAAGGCAATTAAGTCAAAGCTTTGCTGTTCATTCTGGTGATAAGTGACGTAGCTGGCAATTGTTTCTAGTCTGTAGCAGTGATTAACATTCAGCACCAGTATATCGACGAGTATCTGCACTGCGGCTGTCGCATGAAAATAGGTTCCAGAGTGATAATCTCAAACCTGTCAGTAGTTGTGTAAGTAACCAATAGACAAGGACTGAAGAACAAAACAAATGGTTGTTTTGATACACTGCTGTAGTTGTGTTGACTTCAGGTACAGATATGTATATTCTTACAAAACATGTGAAGATAACATTTAAGAGCTGTTTTAACTGGACAAAAGTCAGGAAATTCAGAGTCAGGGTTGAAACTGCATTCACAATACATGCTGCTGTGCTTGTATTGCAGCTGAGATGAGAATTATGATCACCTACTTTCCGAGAGTTCTGAAATAACACACTATCAAACATTGTACTCAAGATCAAGAGGGTGCCTTAAGCAAGGATTCATCCTGGGGAAAATAGGCATAGGTTCTGCCTACATCAGGAGAGAGCAACTTTAAACTTGGGCAGAGGGCTCCTTAAGTGTCAGACTGAGGGAGACTATCCAGGGGTATGCAGTAGATGAGCTCATCTGGATGCCATTTCCCTGCTCACTGTGTGGGCACTGCCAGCAAACTCATGATGCCTGGCAGAACCTGTGTTGTGGACAGTTTATACTTGTGCACCCTATACTCCAAGCACGCTTTCAGTCAGGAGAAGCCAGGAACCGGATTTTTGCCAGCAGACACAAGTAGAACCTTCGCAACAAATTTAATTCCACTTTGAATATTTTTTGTGAATTTCAATTTTTGATGTGATTAGCTTTTAATGAGTTGAAATTCTTTTATGTAAGCTCACTATTTATGAATGCTTTCTTTCTTTTTTTTTTTAAACTTTAGCTTATAGTAATGACTACCTGTCCATAGGCGGTAAGGAAAGATTCTTTAAAATGGCTTTTGCACGGTGGAACGTGGCAAATCCTTCAGGCCTGATATTGTATGGTATTAACTGAATTGACATGAATTCAGCAGAAACCTAAAAAAATTAGAGATTTTTTTTAAAGAAGCTATACATTTACAATTGCTATTGTTAAAATGTATTGTTTATATTTTCCTACCACAGTGCTTATAAGCATTTATCTACATTAAAATCTAATGGACAGCAGAATTTCAGCTGGAAAAATAAAAAGCCAAGGATGTTAGAATTAGAAGCAGTCTAAAAGCATTTGAAACTTTCCTCTTTTGAACGTCTGTGATGTTAAAAGGCACTACCCGATTTTCCTATTTTTATTTATATTATTTTTAGGTTGAGAATTTAAATTTTATCCCGATTTGATTTTTGTCAGCCATATTTCAAGTGGAAATTTTAAGAGATACTGAAGTACAGCCATAAAATTGTACTGCTATAATAAATGGTCCTGAAATTGAAGGAGAATTATTTTAGTTTTATTTATCAAAAGAAAGAAATCAATTTTACTTCTCGGTAGAATTCTTCAGGTGGGTGATATTTTTCAAGGTGCTGAATAATGGCGTAAATATTTTCAAAGGATTGATTTGTGGGGTTTTCCACACTCAAGACTTGTAAAAAGGTACCATTTTAATAGATGTGTTAACATTATTAAATACCAGCAATGTAACAAAAGTATTTTTCAAACATGTTTTATGATATGTTTTGCTTTGTTTACAGGATTATTTCCAATTTATCTTGACATATTTTACAAATACCTCATTTATTTTAATAAAAAAATGTTTTATGCATGTACACTGCTCTGTAGGAAGGCTTTATGCATCAGAAATGTACAATTACTTCCCTAGTCCCTCTTTTGCTCCACCTGGGCAGCAATCTGCTGTTGTCACAATTCAATGACCAGGGTGTAGTATCATTAACCCATGTTGACCAGAAGAGCCTGTCCATTCTCCACTTCTCTCATCCTGCATGCTCTAGGGAATCCATGGCCATGCAACACATGATTACCCCTATAGATCCAGACTAAAGGTTCAGGAATATCACACATGTATTGAGCGGGTACGGTCTTACCCATTCTCATGACCTAGCATGGGTGCATAGACTGAGTCATGATTTGGCCCTTACTATAAAAGTTACAATATAATAAGTGGACGTCCTGGTCTTTGTATCCAGTTATATTTTTTAATAGTGCACTGATTTTATCACTGGCAATTTATACTTGTATAATCAGATAATCTATTTAACTTTAGTTTGGTTAAAATTAAAATAGTTTCATATGGGGATAGATAGAATGATATAAGTCAGTGGGGTACACAGTGGGTACAAAGATATACCCATTTGTTTCTCAGGGCCTAAGACTCTTCAGGGCCATTGACTAACTCTACGGCTACGTCTACATTGGCCCCTATTACAGAATAGGCATGCAAATGTAGCACTTTGGAAGAGGCAAATCCACCTCTTTAAATATCCCCCGCGGCATTTGCATTTTCATGGCCGCCGCTTTTTTCTGGCTTGGAGATAAGCCGGAGAAAAGCGTCCAGACTGGCGCGATCCTCCGGAATAAAGCCTTATTCCGGAGGATCTCTTATTCCTACTTGCAAGAATAAGAAATCCTCCGGAATAGGGCTTTATTCCGGAGGATCGTGCCAGTCTGGACACTTTTCTCCGGCTTATATCCAAGCCGGAAAAAAGCGGCGTCCATGAAAATGAAAATGCCGCGGGGGATATTTAAATCCCCCGCGCATTTGCCTCTTCCCAAGTGCTACATTTGCATCCCTATTCCGTAATAGGGGGCCATGCCTATTCCGTAATAGGCAGCCAGTGTAGACACAGCCTACATGTTTATACAGTGCCTAGCATAATAGAGCCCTGATCCTGCTTGGAGCACCTGGTCTCTGAGATAAATACAGGCAGTCCCCGGGTTACATGGATCTGACTTACATCGGATCCCTACTTACAAACG